AAGAAATAGCGGGATGGTATCGTAGATGTGCACTAAAATGTCTTGAAGAAGTAATTGTCAGTCTGGATGATAATCTAAGATGTCCTGAAGAAGCATTTGAAAAAGGAGAGCTACGGTCTACATATATTAACTGTTCGCTTATTATGAACCTAATAACATGAGAAAGCATTTGATATTGAGTAGGATATTTGCTGAGATGACCTTAAGATGTCTTAGAGACTCACTAAGATATCTTGACTATTACTACTACTACGTGGCTACTAGGAGAGCATTTCCTTAGAATGTTTTGAGTTTAATCAAAGATGCCTAGTTGGCAAAGAGGTCCTAGGATAAGGTTGAGACGTAACCATCGTATAAGGTTTCATCCTAATCGCATTTTGTCATTTTACTTCTCAGCAGATCAAAAACGCACTCGCTTTTGATGACATCATTTATCGCGACGGATCATCGTCCGTGTGGGTGATAAACGGGAGAATTTTACGACCTCCTCGATGGTGTCGGATAGTAAAAACGCGACGACTTGCAAAACATTATAAAACACGTTTAGAACGTGGGAAGGTGCGCGACGACGTTGTAAAATAGACGCTTAAAATGATGAACGACGATGCCCGGTCCCATGCAAACACAATGTCGTTGCGGCATCGACGGGCTTGTACCGTGTGTCCGGTATAATTTGACATCTTACCTAAAGCGTCCATTAAAACGGTAGATAGGAAAGTAATTGTATTGAACTGCCGGGAATTGCTACCTAATTTTTCAAAGAACAATCATTTTAAATACTTGAAGAAACATCAATTTTTTTATTGGATTTAAGCACTCTGTGTCTAGGCTGTAGACCGAAGAGACATCCTATATTAAATGATCTGAAAGACAAAGCTATCACAATATAAAATTATGAACCCAACCAGGCTCGGCTTACAAAACTTCAAACAACAATCATCTTGTCTTCCCAGTGTAGACTGGAGCAAATGGGCCAGTTTTTTTACCATTCTAGTGAAAAGTATGGACCAGTGCGCTTAGTCATTATGTTGTCAGTGTTACTACATGAAGAAACAGTTGCTGCGGATATGTACAGGGGATGTCAGGAACCATGTTTCAGATTCAGATTTCATTCCAATTTCGACGTCAAGTGCTATTTTGTATTAAAAGAAGAATAAATGTATCACAAAAAAACAGCTAATTTTTTTTGCTCCGGATTGGAACAGCGATTCTCATAGTAAAAAACAAGTTAATTTTGAATGTCAAAAAATATAAAACTTTAGATGACCGATTGTAGTCAAAAAAGTTGTGTAAATAATGTTTAGGAATGATTGTTTTGTAATAAAATTTGATATTGGTGGCGAAGTTGAAGTAAAAATCTCTTTCTATTAGTTTCAATCAGCGGTAAAAACAACTTCCTGCAATTTCCCTGCAATACTTTGAAATTTTTTCCAGAAATACCATATAATGTTTTAAAATACTTTTTAATTCCCTCATGAAATTTATTATCCACGCATACTAAAATTCTCTTGGCTTTAAAAAAACTTAGTGCAATACCTTGAAATTCCCCGAAATTCCCAGAAATACCATATAATTTTCGAAAATACTTTTGAATTCCCCCATGAAATTCTTCATCCATGCATATTAAAATACTCTTAGCGACAAATAAACTTCCTCCAATACCTTGAAATTTTAAATTCTAAAATACTTTGGAATTCCCACACGAAATTCTTTATCCATGCATACTAAATTACTCTTAACGATAACAGAAAACTACCTGCAATACCTTGAAATTCTCCTAAATTCCCAGAAATACCAGTACTCTAAAATACTTTGGAATTCCCCCATGAAATTCGTTGGCGATGCATACTAAAATATTCTTAGCGATAAAAAAAAACTTGAAACTCCCAGTAATACCATATAATGTTCTAAAATACTTTGGAATTCCCCGTGTAATGATTTATCTGTGCATATTAAAATATTCTTAGGGCTAAATAAACTTCCTACAATACTTTGGAAATCTCCTAAATTCCCAGAAATACCATATAGTGTTCTAAAATCCTTTGGAATTCCCCCATGAAATTCGTTGTCCATGCATACTAAAATACTCTTAGCGATAAAAAAACTTCCTGCAATACCTTGAAATTCTCCGAAATTCCGAGAAATTCTTTATCCACGCATACTAAATTACTCTTAGCGATAAAAAAACTTCCTGTAATATCTTTAAATTCTCCGAAATTCCCAGAAATACCATATAATGTTCTAAAATACTTTGGAATTCCCTCATGAAATTCGTTATCCATGCATACTCAAATACTCTTGGCGATAAAATACTTCCCGCAATACCTTGAAATTCTCCAAAATTCCCAGAAATACATTGGAATTCCCCCATGAAATTCATTATTAATGCATACTATAACACTCTTGGAACTAAAAGAAAAATGCTAGGCGGAATGGAGATTGATAGATCTTTTCCAATCCTCCAACTATGTCGCACATGAATATCTTGTTCCTAAACTAGGCATAAAGAATCGACGTGCCGGGGATCCCCCGAACCTGAGCGACCTTTGGGCAGTCTTCGTCGCTTCGTCAGGTCGGACTTCGCGCGCAAAAATCCCATAGAGCTTCCTTCCCTGTTGCGATAACATTGAACGCACGATACCCTCGAGGCACGCCACTTTATTTTTGCGCTACCCGAGAGAAACGGGACCTATCTCGGCGGCCATCTAAATCTTTTTGCTCAATAATAAATATACTATAAGCCCAGAGTGCGCGGCTCGAAAGAAAATCCCGACGTTACTTATTAAAATGCTTCGCATGCACCGCTAATAATGGATAGCCGATGGTCAACGTTGCCTTTTGTATACGCTCGACATAACCCGACCAGACGGAAGCAGTCGTACCAATAGAGATCGGACATTAGTTGGTGAGTTCTGTTAGGTTATGCTAAAACGACCAATTACGATTGACCTCACTCGCTGGTGCGTGAGATCGACCACGCGCGATCCTGTACCGATGCGGGACCGCGTAGCTGGTACCAATTTTTATTCTGTGGCGTGTTCGCACGCACCCGCTCCTTTTTTTACTCTTGCGGTTGTATTTTGTGTCTGAAAACAATGGGCATCGGTTTGACCGTCATAAACTAACTTACATCTGTTAAACTTCCATTTGAAGTTTCAATAGAAGTTGCTTGAAATATAAATCGAGTTTAGGATTTTTGCGACAAACTAAAGAACACGATGTATTCCTATACAAATACAGGCGAACCCACAGTAGGTATGACCATCGCATATTGCTGGACAATTCCGATCCCAAATAGTCACTTTTAATTAATTCTATTGTAAATCGTATTGTGTTTTTCGATAAGCCAAGCTGTTAAATTGGGAACCGAATATTTTTTAAAAATATGTTTCTCATTTTATCCAAGTAACTTGGCAAAGTCGCGTTGAAATTCGAAGACGGTTACGGCATAATATAAATATTTAGTGGAGGAATTGTAATAAGCAAAAATATAGGGTGTTCATTTAAAATATATATGCATTTTTATTTCCACGTTTTTGTAATTTAAAATATCTTTTTCTACTACCTTCTCTAAAATAACTAATTATACACCAATCTAGAGTGCGGAAAGTGTCATTTTATCACGTCAGTTTCGTTTCCCACGGATCCAAGCGACTTCGGACATTTCCGCACGGGTTTGGGAGCAATCGGATGTTTTCGTAGATTATACCGCACGGCTTGAATATTGACGTTTGCCAATTTTGACGGTCATGTCAGTGAATATATTCGTGTAGTTTTGCAAAAATGTACTCAGACACTAAAGGTCGTAGAAAAAGTATAGTATTCGACACGTTTCGTAAACTTTTTGAGTCACACTCGTGGCAAATATACTCGTGACTTAAATGCCGTTTTTCTACTCCCTTTTGTAAAATACCTAATTTGTGGAAAGTGACATAATACACCTCAGTTTCGTTTACCAAGCGTGCGAGAAGCGTCACTTTACCACGTCAGTTTCGTTTCCCACAGATCGGAGCCACTTCGGACATTTCCGGGTATTACCGCACGGGTTTGGGAGCAATCAGATGTTTTCTGAGATTTTACAGCACAACAGAAACTAACGGTAGTAGAAAAAGTATAGTATGCAACACATTTGGTAAACTTTTTAAGTCACTCGTTTATCAAGAACTCGCGACTCAAATACCATTTACCACACTTGTTGCATAATATATTATTAAGAACTCTATTTTTGAATGCATAGATAAAGTACTAGGCTATTAATAACTATTTAAGAAAAAGTTATAAAAATGAGTAATAAAATATTTAAGTAGATCTTATTAAGAACACAAGAAAATAAAATGGTACTACACCTGCTTACGGCGAATCTGTAATGAGGTACAAATATTTATGAGTGTGATGAGACCCCGCCTTAAAATCTATGCCGCAGCCATTATCAATATTCATTAACTGGAAAGGCTGAATGAATTTTTGGAAACAAAAAGTTTTTTTTTTTAATTTTTTACTTCTGTAGGGTTGCACGGAAAAGTGCACGCATGCATGCAAAAACCACGTATTGTATAGCAAAAAGTTTAGATGCCATTTTACTGTATATCATCTGCAGGTCTAAAAAAACTCAGTTCAACAAGTTTTGTACAAGCTTGTGGTGTTAAGTATGGCCGCATGCTGCTGAGCAAGCTGAAGAAGTCAAAAGTGACGCTAAACTGAAAAAAATCTTTTTAAAATTCCATGGTTTAACAGAATATTTTTTAAAAGAAACTTATCTCGCTAAGTGTCATATATATATATATATATATATATATATATATATATATATATATATATATATATATATATATATATATATATATATATATAAGGGTACTTCCCTAAATTTGGTCGTAACTCATAGGTGTTGCTTTCTTCTTTGTATTGTCATATGTGCTCTTAGTCAACAACCCCTTTTTATAGCGAGTTTCGGCTGTTTTGTGGTACGAATGGACAAATAAAAAAACCCGACGGTTGGACATAAAACTTTATTTCCGCGTTAACGGACGTCCCGTCGGGCGGGACGTTATATAAAAATTCCGCCGCAAGATAATACACTCACTCTCGGAAAAAGTTTAGGCCTAAAAGCAAGTAAAGGTGTGTGTAAATTTTCTCAATACAATTTACGAAAAAGGCACAACGTTTACGGTAAAAGGTTTTCCATTTGTGTCTGCGTGTGTGTCTAACAGCCGGGCACCGATTTGCGAAAGAGGCAACGGAACAGAAACAAAAAAAAACCGTAAAAATCAAAAAGTTTATTTTCGGAAAATCGTGGCGAAAAAACCAAAGGAAATACAAAAAAAAGTAACAAATTAAATTAAGTATCTATGCTTTGTACACGGCGCCGCGGTCGCGGCCCTTTTTTTTTGTTTAATAAAAAGGAGGAAAAAAAGGTAGACAGGGAAAAATAAATACAAAAACTTAAAAAATAAAAACCGTGTAACGGCCGTTTCTGTCGAAGACTTTCACTTAATAAATACAATAAATTTACAATAAGTTAACGTATGGGTGTACGGGGCGTCCGAAATGTATGCGGTTTTGAGCGCGAACTGACCCCGTACGAGTGGCACAAATTTTCTTCGAGAAAACATTCGATTCGTAGGAACAGGGTAACAACAACTGCCGTGGCACTCGATGACGATAATTAAACTTTGCCAATTCAACACAACAACTCGCATTATTATTTTTTTATATTGGTTGGTCCGCGTATCTGTGAACACTACAAGTTCATTTCACGAGGGTCCGTACTGACGTCACCAACTTCCTTACGCTTTGAAAATATACCGAAACAAAATGATCACCTTACAAACGCTTGCCGCACGCTGATTTCCGAGCTAATCGACCCTAGTGAAACAAACCCAATCTCAGAAAGCCTAATATTTTTTAAATATTTTATATTTTAAACGGCATTTCGTAAAAACCAAGAGCTAAATTTTTTATTGTCATATTTCTTGCGCATTTTTATTTTACAAAAAGTTTATGCAGTCGTCAAACTTAAATAATATAGTCTATCATATCATGGTTGTTATGTTGTTATTTATTATTTTTCCATAATCTCAAAAAAGTTAACGAGACGATTTGGCTTAGTTCAACTGTGGTCACAGGTTAAATAGAGAGAAAAAGAGAACTCGTGGTTTTCACAGAACAATACTGCATATCATGCAACTCTATTATTACACTTTCTGCGACGAGGCAAGTGGCCCAAAGATAAACGCGCCACCCTGTGCATCGCAACACTCTAACAAAAAACTTAATAGCGTTCAAACAAGTCAAAAATCACATTATTTTTTTTGTAATATCAAAAATAGACAACTGAAGTACTAGCTAGTCCCTCTAGAGTTTCATTTGATCGTATCGACCGTACGTACATACAAATATCACAGTGTATTCGTATCTAAATCGTGTTATCCTTGTTACGTCACGAGTTGGGGGGTGCGTAAATTCTTCTGTACCCCCACTACCGGAATGAGGGCGAAAAAAGGAGAGGAAGACTAGATTCGCGACAATTTCGGCCCGAATAAGGGAAAAAAGACAATTGACATCCATGACATAGAACACTGATTTTTTTTAGATAGTTATTTGCCGCAACTGAATTCCCCGCCAATCGTCTTTACGTACTTGCGCGGTTTCTTCAATGTGTTTCACCTCAGTCGACCGCCGTTGCTCATATCATCATAAGGCAGAATGAGACACTCACTTGGGACCTCACCGAGGAGAAACACGCGAGATAAGCTCGAGCTATAAGTACGTGTTCCAAAAACCTCTCGTCCAACTTAGAAGTGATACTTTTGAACGCAATCAATGAAATTTCGATTTCATTAGACCCAGACAACTTAACCACAATCTTGTCGACTACAAAATTCAAAACTGAAGATTGAACCGGAAAGGCACACCATATTAAGAAGATGTCTTCTTCTACTCTTGTTTCAACGACTTCCCTCTTGTACGATTGAGGATACTGATGTGTAAAAGACAATGAGGTATTTTTCTTTTCTGTAAAAGGATATAAGGCTGAAGGTTCCACAAATATCTCCTTCTTCTCAGAGAAGGCGAATAAGGTTTCTGGATGAAAGGTTACTTGGAGCATCACCTCTAAGTACGAAAATCCTGCGAAACGAGCGGTTTCTTAGTGTATACATTTCATTCAACATCGAGACACGTTTGTTCAACACCCTGTACTATTTAAACCGAAATAAAAAATCGAAATTTATCACAACGTTTCGCGTCGGGTCGAATCAGTGTGCTTCAGTCTTAACAACGGGCTGACTATTGAGGGATTCTGGTTCGTAACGCGTGTGAGTCCTCATGTGACGGGTGATCATGTCTCTCCTGCAAGCAGCGTATGGACACTGCGGACATTTGTAAGGCTTTTCGCCCGTGTGGGTCCTCTGGTGCGTCGATAGATGATCGGAACGCGAAAAGACTTGTCCGCATACCCGGCAAGTGTACGGCTTCACCCCTGTGTGCAGCCTCATGTGTCTCGTGAGCATGTCGCTCCTCGCGAACGACCTCTTGCACACCTCGCAGAGGTACGCCTTGGCGGTGGTCTCGCCCGAGTTTTGCCGACTCTTGTGTCTCGACGCCATGTGCTTCGCTAACCGGTCGTGCAAGCTAAACATCTGACCGCAGACTGGACACACGAATGCTACGTCCGAACCGGGCGGCATCTCTTCCACCACGGGAGACACTTCCAAATTGTACCTCGAAGCTACCGACTCTTTAGTAGTCGGCGAAGCGACGTCTCCTTTAACGACGGGCACCGATACCGCCCCCCTGGGCGGTAAAAAGCCAGGAGGAAGCAGCTGCAGCGGTGTCGGTATCAGACACTCCAAACTGGCCATCCTTTCCCTGGCTTTGATGCCTTTCATCGACAAGTCCAAAGGGAACTCCTGCGGGGTTGAAATCTCCGCGTCGGCGTTGTTGCCGGCGGGTGATATAGCGAATGGGTGAGGCGGGTTCGGGCGACCCTTGTCCCCTTTCGCCGACTCCAACCATAAGGGCAAATCGGAATCGGAGTGGCTCCTTCGTCTGAATATATCTGGCAGGTACTTTGAGTGGAGATAACGTTCGAAACTATACGACGGAGCCGGCGACGCGGGAGTCAACGGCGATATCGGCGACGCGGGAAAAAACCTGTCGTAAGGGTGAAGCGGCGGGGGATGGTGGCCGACCCCCGTGACGCACTGGTAGCACGGACATGCCGGCGGTCGTTGAAAAAGCGGCGGCGACGAACTAGCGTCGTCCTCTTTGATTCTTAATGGGCTAAAACTGATCCTCGGCGATTCGGTCGAGCTGTGCGGCGACTTATTGCTCGAACTAGCAGGACTGAATACGTCGTCGTCCTCGCTGGCAGATTTCAACTTCTCTGGCGGTTCGAATTTGAACACGTCACCAGGGTAGTGCTTCTTCTTCAACCCCGCCCCGCCGATGTCCGCGTCGCCTTTGTTGTTATTGTAGAGGTTGTTGTTGGTGGACGGTTCCTCTTCTTCTGATTGTCCGGCAGCGCCGGTCAGCTTGTCCAGTACCTGACTGAGCCGCTTCCGCTTGCGTTGCTTGGCCGCGGGCCGATGGTTGTGATTCACGACCAACGGGTGGTTATTGTTGGCCTTGTCGTGCGGGGGCGCTGTGGACTCCAGAGCTGTCTCGGCCATAGTCATCGCTGGACGCGTGTTCGTGTTGTGGTGGCCTCCGGAGTCGGCTCTACGGTCATCAGAGGTGGAATGCAGCGTGGACGGTTACGGTCGCGCTAGACGAATGCCTGAAACAAGAAGAAACTAAGTTAGCATAAAAAATTATAGCTTACGTCGGATATATAACATATTCCGCTGGGAATTCTACAGGTCAGTACTATACTTTAGCAGCAAACGAATACTTTAACGGTACCCAGAAATGAAAGAAAGCTTGAGTGACGTATGTAAACCACATTATAGACCCGAAGTATATTTGAATTCAAATATATTTCGACAAATCACATATTACACTAGATCTAATTGTAGCACTACACTAATTAGTGTAAAATTTTGCACTTGGAATTTAGTACTTATTGTACTAATATAGTACTTAATGAATTAAAACGCTTGACGGTATCCAGAAATAAGACAAAGGTCAAAAATCACTACCAGACAGTATTATACTAAAAATAGATCTTCTTCTCGGATATTATCATGACTATCATAATCTTCTTAACAGCTGCTCTAAATAATGGGTTTGATGTCATTCCAAACCATTCCCTTAAGTTTTTGAACCAAGAGGTTATCCTCTCCGTGGCCAAAGTATTCCAATTTGATTTTTCAAAGAAACTTCCACAGGCTAGTGTAATACTTTTTACAAAACTTCTGGATTCCTGCTGCGTCGGTTTTTGCTGAGTCGAAATTGCTGACGTTTCGTCAATCATCCTGTTGGCTTCTTCAGAGCTTGACTGAAACTGACTCGTATTTTACTCTGTACCTGATTATATATTGTTTGAGGGGGGTGGGGGGGCTAATGAGGGGTATAAACACCGTCTCGGATGGCTGATTCCCAAATTGGTGACAGGTAGAGACCTGAGTCGCGGTTAAGATGGTTAGGTTGTTTATAGATTTCTATAGACTCTCGGATTTTTTTCATTGGTAGAAGAATTAGCTACATGCAAGAATTTTAGTTTTATCTTGAATTTTTCGTAGGTGCAGAGTAAAATACGAGCCAGTTTCAGTCAAGCTCTGAAGAAGTCAACAGGATGATTGGCGAAACGTCAGCAATTTCGACTCAGCAAAAACCGACGCAGGAGGAATCCAGGAGCTCTGTAAAAAGTATTCCAATTTGGTTCATTTTAGAGAGTTAATTATTTCCTCCTGTTTCTGGGTTCTCTGTAGCAGTTCCATATTGGAAGCCCTGTCAGTCCATGAGATTTTCAATATTCGCCCATAACACCATCCTTCAAAAGCTCCGATCTTGTCCTTATCTGCCTTTTCCAGTGTCCACGAGTCTGGCTCGTAAAGTAATGTTGAAAAAACGTAACATCGAAGCAACTTGCAACTATGCAACTTTTGATTTCATTGTTTCCTGTACCCTAAGTATTTGTATTTTCTTACTCTTTCTATCGTTGTGTTGTCCATTGCAAGAATTCCGTTAACATTTATTTTCTTTGTAATAATCATGTATTCAGTTTTCTTAAGGTTCATGTTTAGTCCATATCTTTCGCACGTATCATTTAGCCTCTGCAGCAGGTATTGAACTGAGGTGGCTTTTACTTGATGAAAATCCATTTATCAAAATAACAAGGAACTAAAAGTTCAGATTTTCACGAAAATATATATTATGACATGACAATTGTTTCGACAACACCGTGTCTTTATCAAATGTGATTTGATAAAGACACGGTGTTGACTAAACAATTGTCATGTCATAATATATAATTTCGCGAAAATCTGAACTTTTAGTTCTTATTTACTCTGCAGCAGGGTTTGCAATTCTTCAAGCTTGCCTGTAACTATAACTATACTATACTAATACACTAACTAAGTTATCACTTAGTCATTAAAACTTTGGTTAGTTGTTGGTGTTAAAATATTATATAGATTTCGTAATATACCGCTAATACTACACTACCATGAAATATTGCTAAGTAATATTACACTTAGTTACTACACATTCCAAGCTTGTGCTTGATCCCTGAAAGAAGCACTTCTAATTATCCTCTATTTAATGGACGAGTGGATGAATTGTTTTAGTAATAAGTTTAACATTACACTATCCGCGACACTATACCTAAGCAACGTTGCACCGTCGATCGGTAAGTTTCCGACACGCCCGCCATCGCGAAACTCCGACGGGTTCAGCACCGTCGAGCACGGAGGCCGTCGGCGAGGAGCAGCAGGTACAAAGATCTACCTGTTGTACACACCTGACTCTGTGACCTCGTTTATTAGATATGAATGGAGAACGATGGCGACAATCACCGCGAGGTCGAGCGCGGCCTCTCGAAACAAACGAACCGAACAGAAGAGCATCGCAAGGCACATGGTCGAAGACCTCTCGGACGGACGCCTCCTTCGGGTAAAGACGCGGCGGCGGTGGTGCATTGCGGGGGTGGGAGAGCGCGCACATACACACACAGACTGCGGATGAACCGCTGCAACTACTGTTTCGGCCCGACTTTACCACCCTCCGCACCTCCAGGTCCGTATCGGGTCTATTTTTAGGAACTAAGGCGTACATGTACCGCAATAATTACAGAGACACCTTACGTATATCGGGTAATATCGTTGGCTCGCGTTAAATTACAGATTAAGCCGTTAAATTCTCAGTTTAAGAGCCGATAAACATATACACACACATGCACGCGCGCTCGAGTAGTAAAACGTACGCGTGTCTAGTAAATTACGGTTTTACTGTCAGCGCGATTAATCGTGCAGATCGAAACACCAAAGGTCCGAATTTTGGGTCCGCCTTTCAACCCCAATTCGTGCGAATTCTGCGAAAATTGTGTACAATTTGATAGGAATGTCAGCGGGGCTTACGCGGTCTTTAATTGGCAACCGCAAAGTAAATCGATCGAATTTATGTACGTTTAAGGTAGAAAATGTGGGGTAGAACGTCGTCGGTGGTTTTACACAATTTTTCGTTACTACCAGGAAATTTGTTTTCTCAAAAATGTGGAAGTAAATTTCACGGGTTATTATACCTAAAATAACATTTCCGGTTATTCAAAAGATCAAAGGAAAGACAACAATTGTAAAATTTGCCTCACTTTTTTATCACACTAGTTCACTGGTAAAACCTGCTCAACACTGTATTAACTTACAAAGAACAATTAAAAGGCAACCGGTATGACAAATAACATCAACGCCACACTTTTAGTGTGAAACTCGTCTAAACAGTACGAAATTTACATGTTGAACGTGCAGTACCCTTCAGTTTTGTCAGTGTCAACTATGTTTAGTCCGTTTAAAATGACGCAAATCTCATAAGACCATACTTTTATTGTATATTTGTTCTCACAGTATTTATCAAATTGGTGTTACGTCAGATTAGTAAAATAGAATGAAAAAAAAAAAGAGGAAAATAAGTGATTCCAATTGATAGCGTTTTTTTTAATCGAAATAAGATTTCTTGTCGAAAAATCAATTAAACATTTAGGTTTCGTGTTTGTTGTGGCTTGTTTTGTGTTTGGATTTCGTATATCAAATTTGTTAACTGCGATTTGTAGTTTTTTCTCATGCGCCATTTTTACCATTTTGTATGGAATTTTAAACATTGTTTGAAGTGTTGTAATTTGGCTATTGGGATTCCTCCTGCGTCGGTTTTTAGTGAGTCGAACTAGCTAACGTTTCGCCAATCATCCTGTTCGCTTCTTCAGAGCTTAACTGAAACTGAAATTGATATGTATTTCTGTCAACACAATCACCCAATGTTGATTTTCTATTGATAGGAATATCTAAGAATGGCAGGTTGTTATTAGTTTCTATTTCAATGGTAAATCGTATGTTAGGGTGTATAGAATTCAAATGTCTAAAAAAATCTACTAGGGATTCCTGACCATGAGGCCAAATTGGCCAATTGACGTAGCGTTTCCATAATTTTGATTTTAGATGGAAGGTGTCGAGAGCTTTCTTCTCAAAGGCTTCCATAAATATATTCGCGACCTTTGTTCAAAAATTTTCAGTCCAGCTTCAGTCAGTTTCAGTCAAGCTCTGAAGAAGCCAACAGAATGATTGACGGAACGTTAGCTAGTTCGAGTTAACAAAAACCGACGCAGGAGGAATCCAGAAGTTTGACAAAAAGTATTACGGTAGTCTGTGGAAGCTTCTTTGAACAAAAACACATCACTTTGTTTTAGAAAATAAATAAATAGTATTTTAGTGACTACTTTGGGCCAATAATAACTAGTAAAACCTCCCTCGGTGTGTGAATAATTGTGGTTTGATTTATCGGTATTACGCTAACATAACCTTTTCACCGCGGAGAAACAGGATTCGCCGATTAAATTCCGCAGTACGGACCTGTTTCCTTCTGGGGGCGATTCAAGTTCTCCTTCGTTTCGGAAATTTGGCACTGGCTTCGGGTTAATGACAGATTTAGAAGGGTTGGCGCACTGCAACGGATAAAGGCCGGGCATCGCGATGTTTATCGTACCTAAACGAAAACCTCGCGTGTCGCGCCGCCTTTAAATAATGTCGTGGAAAGCGCGCTGAAAAAAATTAACGATAATTTGCGCTAATTAGACCGAACGCCGCGCGTAGCGGGTGCGACATGGTCGTAAATCATAGTAGCCCGGTCACCAAAGACTTTTTGGTTAAAAGCCTGTAACTGTTAGATAATTGAAAACATTAAACGTTATCAAGGACTAGAGTGTACAAAAAGTTTTTAACAATTTACTCAGTAGGCAACATTTTGTTTGGTCTCCACTACTTCCAAAATGATTGAATTTGAAGTTTCGGTAAATTGAAATCAATTTTTTTAAAAGTGTTCACTTACTCAGCAAGTAATCATCCCAGAATCTAGAGAAGTATTATTACGCTATTTAGAGTAATTAATTATAGTAAACAAAACACCTGAGTGGTATCCTCAGGTTGTGGTTTATGTCACACTTTAGAAGTCGACCACCAGTAAGGTTTGCGCAAGAAGATAAGTATTTTTGAGTTTGCTCAATACCTACAACAAAACGTATGTCTGCCACCACACTCCTAACACCCAGCAAATCAGTAAGGAGTAGCGGATAAAAGGAGAGGCAACCCTACTGAAGTTCGACGCTCCTTCCAATCGTTTATTTCGATCGTA